CTCGAAATGGAAGTAAGTTCAACAATGGTAAACACACTTTATCTTCCATTTCCATTGTGAACTGGATTCTTGCATCAATTTGCTTTATAGAATTGAGTAAATCCTCCATTTTTTCTCTTCCATGCGACCAACCCATCCATGTACCACATAAACACCCTTTTTTGCAGCGGTAATGTCCTAAAATTCTCTTCTAATTTGTTCATGTATGTATTTGTTAATAGAGGTGATCCCAGCGATTTCATGGTAAGTCTAAATGTCTGTTCATAGATGTTGTCGTCGAATGTGAAGTAGGTAGTCCTTATTGCCAAGTCGATTAGTCGTGCAGATGAAAGATTTTTTCTTGACTCGTTGGCCTCAATAGGGTTGTAAGAATGATACCCTCTCCGCTCTGATGGTTCTCTCCATGACGGAGGACAACTTTGTACAGTTTGACTGGAATCAGAGGAGCTTGCCTCGGGGTCAGCGTAAACACGAATTGTCCAGTAAAGCCAATCGACAGCTGGTCAAATGGACTCCGTCGTCATCTTCTGGTTAGTTTGACTTTCGAATCTCTTCGCCAAACACTTCAACTCGAGATGGAAGTAAGCCCAATAATTGTGAAACAAAAGATGCCTCAACGCCCAACTTTGCTTCGCATATATATTTGTGAGTTCATCCAAATAATCAGCCAAAATATAAAATAAATTAACACAAATTGTACGCTTAGGTTGCAAAAACCAGGTCACATGCTGCCCTGGCCAGGCGTAGAGACGCTTTCTGACTTACCGAAAAAGCTCGCCTGTAGATGGCTTCGTTAGAGTCCTGGCCTCTCTGAGCCGGTTCTGGCCAATGTCGACTCATGTCACCTCCTTCGTTTGTGCCAGTCTCCACCAAATTGGCCACGTTGTTGGCGTAACAGTCGGACATCATCAGCACGAACTCTTTAAAGTCGATGCTACCGTTGCCTGGAGAGAAGAAAAAAGCAGCAGATAGGACAGGTCAGTTGTTCACGGAGCGCTGAAGTGCCTTATTGTCACACACGAACTATGGACGGTGTCTTTCGACTCATAGCAAGAGCTGAAAGACACAAATGTAGATACCATGGCCAACGTGTTATTATGGCCTCTATTTTGCTCGCAGTCACCTTTCGATGTATAGTATTGGTTTTGGCAAATTGGTCAATTTGGCAGGAGGACCTTTTGCGGATTTCAGAGTATTCATTATCATTTCAAGAGTCGGAACGTGGACTTGGTACATTACAAGACGTTTCGCCGGCATCGTCAGTGAGTCTTGTCAGTCTCAGTACCAAAGTTGATCTCGTCCAAAGGACAATTGACGTCTGAAAATGTATCACTTTACGGTCCAACTCTGAAAATGGGGTGCGTTGCTCTAGGTTTTTCTGCGAATATGACCAAATTGCGGAAACAAGGTCAAAAAACTAGTGAAGGACATAATGTTTACTCGCTTGTACACGGAGCCAATATTATTTGATGGCGTCACCAAAAGACGACGCATCTTCCTCGTTGCTCTTCCGTGGTCAGGTGTGACAGTCAGGCTCATGGTGATGCAATGCAAGGGACATCTGCCTTTAGTTCACGAGAAAACTGGTGGTGGTTTCCTCCTTATGGCTACAAGAAAGACATCTTCAGTGCTGGATCACATTTTCTCAAGGGCTTAAGGTTGCTACTCCGCAAAGAAGACCAAACTGTGTTACCTTTCATTTTAGTCAAACTCACAACCAAAAGGGAAAGTGCAAAAATGAGGATAGTTATATTTTCCGCTGTTAAGGAGGTTTTTGAGATATAATGGGTGTATTCTCCCTATTTCGTTCAAGGTAAGGAAGAATTGGCAGTGAAATTTTCCTACAATTAAATGAGTATGCATCATGTTCCTTCGTCGGCATACAGAAATGGACTGTAAACAGTATTTATATCAGATTTACAGGTAGCCTAAAAAACTTACTTATAAATGAAAAATAGGTAATTCAGTCGATTTCTATGGCAAATACAACTTTGCCTAGTCGATAATCTCACCCCAAAGTGTGATATGGGAAAATGCTTGATCTTCCTTGAAATTCACAACCACCCTGTGACCCAAGGGCATAGTGGTTGATGTGTCAGGGTCATACGCGGCAGTACCACAAATCGGGTTCACGTGATGATGGTGAGATTTAACTCAATTTAGCACTAACAAATGTTGTGGTTCAATATTGAACCAAATCAAAACAAGCTGTACCACAACATTTGCGGATTAGCACACCAGAGACTAG